CACAGAATACACATTCTTTTCAAGTTCATATGGAATATCCTCCAAGATAGATCACATCCTGGGTCACAAAACAAATCTTAACAAAATAAAAAAAAACAAAAAACTGTAATCATATTAAGTATGTTCTCTGACCACAATGGATTTAGATTGGAAATCAGTAACTGGATACGAGAAAATCTCCAAAAACTTGGAAATTAAACACATGTCTAAATCAGTTGTTAGCAGACTTTTCTGTTAAGGGCTAGCAAGTTAGCATTTTAGGCTTTGTGGCCAAGATTATCTCTGCCGTAAGCATTTAACCTCTGCTGATGAAACACACGAGTGGCCACAGGCAACACATAAACAAATGGGCATAGCGATGGTCTAATAAAACTTTATTTATGAACACTGAAATGAGTAGCAAGATCTCCATATGCGTAAGATGTCACAAGCACTTAGAAACACTTAATTCAGTTTGGCTTTTGTGCTTCAAATAGAAGACACTGTAAAAATCCGACGCTCACTTCTAGTCTGAATCCATGTAAAAACACGTGTAACAATAATGCTCTTACCATAGTCAGCCCAGGCTGCATTCCAGCACGGATGGCCTCTATCTGTGTATGAGTGAACTGAATTGTATTACTGCAAATTAGAGTAGATAAAAAGTTGGTTGAAAACACAGATGAATGACATTCAGTAAAAATTTAGACAACAGTGGCCAGAGTTATAAACATCTGCTCTGCATCTGTTCCTGTTCTCCCAGTCTCTTCTCCCCCTCAGGCTGGCCCTTTGTGTATGTGTGGTAAAACTACATAATAAGAAATCTGCCCTCTTCATATTTAAGTGTGCAGTACAGCACTGTTAACGATGAGCCCAATGTGGTACAGCAGGTCTCTAGAACTTACATCTTACATGACTGAACAATCTCTTCTGAATGACTCTCTGCACCCCTGCCCTTCCACAGACCGATTAAAACTGAATGAAACTTGTGGACGGAGAAGACTACAGTTATTTTTCAATATATTTAGCCCATTTCAAACCTCATCTGAAGTGCCCAAGTTCTAGTTCACAATCTAATACCAAATGTCCGGCCACTGTATTAATTATGGCACACACGCAACGAGCAGCTGTTAAAAGTAACACATAGTCATAAAGTAAGAACCCTGTGCTCAATTTAAGGTAGCCCTCTAACGTTCACTTCTCATAGTACCTGAAAATGTTTCTTTCTGAAATATGACTACAGAATGGCCAAAAATGTCTGAACTATTCAGCCAATTGATAGACTAGAAGGAAAGGGTATAGCAACAGAATTTCCTGGGATTTTTAAAGAATCAGAAAATAATAAAAAATATTACAAATCCATTTGAAATAGCAAGCTATTATTAATTATACAATTTTCCCAGATAGTAAAATTACCGCTTGGGTTGGTTGTAAGGGTAAGGACCCCGATTAGGAA